GATTAAAGGTAACAACAGTCCGTATACAATCGATTTGCTCTTTGCTTTTGCAGTATTTATGATTGTCGACAGAAAATTACGCGAAGGCTTTGAAGTTAACTGTCGAACCTATATTCACATCTTGTTACTCTACTTCATCTTATTAGGAAAGTCACCAATACCGGGAATTCTAAACCTTTTCCAAAAACGCATATCTAAAGAATACCACGTAATTCTGATACGCAATATCTTGATGTTTCACGACGTCGTTACATAAAATCGTTAAAACTTCTTCGCCGAGTTGTGCTAAGCACAAGTCTTCAAAAACCCCGTGAAGCTACCAATAAACAAAATATAATAAATAAAACTTCTAGAAGACAGCCGAACTTTGAAAATTTACCTGGATGTGTGGTAGTTTCATCAAACTGTTGAACTCTGACAAAGCTTCGGTAATTTTTTCTGGATTCCCGGTTTGAGCGCACATCTCAAATTTCAATCTCACATTTTGGACAACCTTTAACGATTCTGGTTGGACCGAAGGCATATGCGTTTGCTCACTTTCACCTTCCAACGTCAATCCATCAGGAATATTTAAGTCCTCGTGCGTTGACAAATTCCCGTTAGGTTTCACATGATCTTTTAGATAGATTAGAAGAGGTTGCATAATGATTTAGAGTTAAAGCATTTACGCAATTCATCCTTCATACCAGAGATATCTTGGTATTGATCACTGTTTCGTTTTCTTCGTTTTTTCTTGCTTATTATGTAATCTCTCGAGACGTGACGCAATTAAAATACAATGATTAAGATTAATAATGTAAACAGAAAATAAATCTAAAGTTTTCTTTGCTACGTGAGGATATGAAAATTGGTTGAGCGATAATAGATTCTTCGTTTTTTATTATAGGTTCTGTTTGAGTGAGGAATATTAATCTTTTTTTTTTGTAAAAGCTTTACGAAAACGACCTAATAATTTACACCCAGTTCTAACCTTTCTTGTCTTGTAATCCTTGCAACCAATTCTCAATATATGGATCATCCTTAAAAACCTCGTCCAACGTGGGATTCGAAAACAATTTTACACTGACGGAGAGTTTTGATTTCCATTGTTGTAATAATTCCTCGTGATATGGGTGAAATCTTGACATTTCTATTTTCATGAGGATCGGACGACGCGTTTATAAATACATGATCACGTGAATATACTTATCACGTGGATAGCGACGAATGCCTTTGGGTAAACGGGTTCATGTTTTATCATTTTACGCCACTGCGAACAACGAAAACTTTCGGAAAGTAAAATTTCTCCTTATATCAATAAAAAAAACTTTTTTCCTATTTTATTCATTATAACATTCAAAACTTATATGATGATGATACGCATGCATGCAATATTGATCGTATTGTGCAC